TCGGCATCGGCAGGAAAAGTTAATGATGTCACTTCCACTTTTACCCAGAGGCCGAAGGCATCAACCCAACCGCTTTCGATGCCAGCTGAGGCAGACCGATGCAGAACGTGTGAAAAATACGAAACTATTAAACTATCGCTGGGCACAGAGCCAGTGCCACAGAAATCGTTTAAGCCACAACGATAAAGGCACCATTGGAAGGAACATTTGATTGAGTACACAAAGGAAAAACAAATTGGCACAAAATTATTTAACTTTCTAAGAGCTATCCTCTGGTAAAAAAACAAATAAATTGGTATAAGAAAATGTATCAAAGGGATTATCATATAATTCTAAGATTTTATTAGGTCTACATTATATTCTTTAAATTTTATCTTAACAATATACAGTTATTTGTTTTTGAACAACATTTTTACAAGTGCCAAATGAAATGACATAAATATTTTAATAAATACTACATAAATCTCTGGATGAATTAATCGAAATAAATAGTTGTTAAATAGTATTATATCTAACTGAAAATGAAAAGAGAAAAATGGAATTACATATAGATTAATTGGCCTACCAAGCGTTAAAAAACCTTTGTTGCTGTCTGTGTTTTTAACTACATTCATGTTTGTTCATGCATTTGTGGCAACTGCTCGACCCTTCTGGTGTAATTATAATCCCACTCAAATATTTGGCTAATTCAACGAGTTTAAATACGAAAACAATTACATCACTCAAACTCAAATGGTGGTTGGGGAATAGGGCTGAGAAGAAACACCAATAATCGCGCAACGCACTTAGCCAAATTTCGAGCAATTAAATCTTTAATTCGCGCTTAAAAGCTGTTTTACCCCACAGGTTCCCCTTGGCCATTTCCCCTATTTTCTGCGGGGGGTCGCCAACTAATTATAAAACGGATGCGCCGCATTTTCCACCCCGAATCCTCCCGTCTCCTCTTTTTGTTGGGAGCGCTTTGTTTAAGGCCGCAAGTCCCAACCAGAAAAGGGACAGATAAATGCGACGGTCTGCTCCTAAAATAACAGTATTTTGCATAATTGTTGACCCAGAAAGTCCGAAAAGAAAGCAGCAACAAAACAGGGGAACGATGCTGCAAGGAATGTAATTTCTTTTTCTTATTTTCGCTAGCATTTTCGCTCGGCGTTGCTGTGGGAACCGCCAGTGATTTGTAATTAGGAAACGGCCGCCAACTGTCGCCTTGGTTTTGGCCTGGCTCGGACGATGCCACGCCCCATTTGCACGGCAACGAAGGCGGTGGCGGTGGCAGTGGCAGCGGCAGCGGCTGGAGGCATTAGCGAACGTTAAATACCCAAGTGCCATCTGCCAAGGGGAAAGCGGCTACAAAAAAAAAGGTGACCGGGAAAATTAAATGAATGAAAAGTGCTAGAAGAAAAGTGTAAAGCAATGACGGCGACGCCTGGTGCCCCCTCAAATCCGTCCCCACCCCGCCCTCTCTTTTGGCCATTTTCGCAGTTTGCGGCTTGGCGGAAAATGGGGAGGAAAAGCGTTAAGGGGTGGTGGAAAAATGTGGCGAAGATTCCACCCATTTGTGTGCGTAGTTGGCGTAAAGTTTATTAAACATTTAAATTCACTCATTTCGCTTTGGGACTGCTCCTTTCTTTTTTGGCTGGGGAAATGACCAAAAATTGAAATTATTTCATGTCCGGTGTCACCATTTTGGGCTTCCGTTTTGGGTTCGAGTCAGGGTCCTCGGCAATCGCCCTTTTGCTTAAAAATAAATCCATTGATGCAGAACTTTTGAAACTTCATTTTCAACGGAAATTTATAATTTTTGGGCCAACGGCCTTGGCCGGTCCTTGTTTACTCATGTCCTGCATGCTTCCGTTTTCCACTTTTCCACTTTTCCATTTCTCTGCCTCTTGGGCCACCGGAAAGACCTTTTCTTTCGCATAATTTCGGGAAATATGTTTACAGCAGTTGGTATTATTTCGGGAAAACTTTTGGGCAATGATTTATGTGGGGGAATCTCTTATAAAATGGTGAAATGGAAGGCTTTCCTTTGAGCAACCGTACATTAAAATATATGAGCCTAAATTTAATTACTTTATCTTGGTTTCCAACAGCCTATTAATAAAGTTTAATAAATCAATAATGTATGTCATTTACCAATTTGGTATTTATTTTTTTGTACATCAACTATTTTAAGGGAAAAAATCATAAAAATAAAATATTTAAAGTAAATCCGAGTAATTTCAGTTGAAAATGTAGCTTTATTTTATATACAACCCTATATTAGTTTCGCTAATTATCTTAAAACTAATCCTTCCTTTTTAACAATCAATCCCCAGCTTGTTCTTGACCGTAAATGAGTTAAGCGTTTGGGAAAGGTATTGATTTTGAGTTTTTTAATTCATATCATTAGTTACTAATCGATTATAAGCTTAAGACCACCCAAAGAGGAATACAAGCTCCTTTACAAAGTCTAGCAACTGACCAACGTCGTAGCGGAGGGCGATGAAAACTCTCGATGAGAATGCATCCTTGTCAGTAACAAAATCGGTTTTAAGCATAATCCTTTGCCAGCGCAAATCCCATTCAAACCGCTCGGCTTGGCTGTGATTCCAAAAGCCCCGAAAACTTTTGCGTCCTCCAATTGAAAGGAGTTTTTGTTGGTCGCGTGTGTATGGTGCGCTTGTGGCTAGGCTCTTTGGCATTAGGCACCAACCTTTGCTCCTTGAGCCACCTTTCAATGCTTCACCTTGTAAAGAGAGCACCCACAATGGGCACACACACACACCCACCCACCATTCGCATTCAGGTGCACACTTATTAGAGGAAAGCAGGTGAAACTCATCCTTGAGGCAGTGACGTTGCACTCGGAAGTCAGTCTGCATTGGCAGCCCAGAAAATGGCAATAATGAAATCAAAATGTGAATGCCCTTTGCATTTCCTACTTACAGTTTGACCCTGTTACAAGCAAAAGCAAAGTTGAAGCTTCAGCTGAAGCTTTAGCTTCAGTTAAAACTAAATTTGAGCCTGGTCAGCCTCCAGGCATTTCCTTTACCCGCCACACCCACCTCCCACAGCCCACGCCCCCCCGTTGAATAAGCAGTCATTAGTTCTCTTTCGAAGAGTTATGCGGCTTCGCTGCTTTGGCTGCTGCATAAAATTTGCATTTGAATGCAGCGTTCGAAAGTTGAGACAAATCCTTGGCGGGCATTCCCTTAAATCTGCGCCTGCTTTTGTGTGGATTCGTTGTGGCCAGTAGGTCAAAGTGCATTTTCAAAAGCTTATTCAAATTATCAGCTCAGGCCCTATGTGCCCTAACTTCAATTATTTCAACAACCAATTTTTTACCTAGCTGTATTTATCTTTAGTTATACATAGCAAACGGCGTTGATAAATTATTTTTTGTTTATCTATTAGAACTATTTTTTATGTGTTACATAACTTTAGTTATGATTGAGCACAATCGAAATTTGTGATCAGCTCACAAGTTCAAGAATATCTCAGCTATTCTAAGAATATCCCACATATTTTTTATCACTTTTTCAACCACTCTTACAAAAAATAAATATTCTTACAGAAACGTAAAAAGGTGTAACGACTTAAAAAATGGGCTTTAAAGAATTTTTGAAAAAGTATTAGTATTGACATTCAAAGCATGTCATTTCGTTTTTAAAAATGTATTACTGATAATGTAATTGACCAACTTAAATTGAAAGCCGAACGGATTTTAAAATGTCATTAAACAGAGAACGATTTTTTTCGATTGAAAAAATTATAAGCAAATGAATTTAGTATTAAGTTTTTAAGACAAACTAAAAAACAAACGTTTTGGATAAAATCTCACAAATCCTTCTGTTCTTTCAAAAACATTCGTTGAAAAAAATGACACTTATTTGACCAACTGGCATATTTGTTAAGATATTGGAAAAATTTAATTTAATTTTAGCGGTTAGTATTTTATTTATAAATATTTGTTCAAGGACTTGATGCACCCCCGGACCGTCATCGTTTTGGGTGATTTCCATTTAATTAATTTTGGCAGAGATATCTATTATTTTGATTTACTCGGCGCCCTACTTTCAGTTGCCAGTCACAATGAGACCGGCAACCATTGTTGGACATCGACGGCTGTAATGGATATTCTCAAATCAAACCCTAAATCCTTTCAATCACGTTTGTCCTTGATGTTTGGCCTGAAAATAGACAGACCGTTACGTTGACCTTGACCCGATATCCATTGTCAAACTTTTAGGGTTTGGATCGATTTATTTTTGCTTTTTAAGGCCAGATTTTTTTTATTGTTATTATCTATTAATCTGTTTTAATCTAAAATTTTTCCAAAATTAATCTTATAGTCTACCGTCAACGTCTTCTTCTTCCGAGTGAACCAAACAAAGTGAAATGCAACCAAAAATAATTTAAAAAAAAATGGAAAACTATTGGACATATTTTTGGCCAAAATTACATTTATATGCTATTTTTGGTATTTTTCGGCTATCTGAATAGAGGTAAAGAAACGAACGGATTTCGTCGATCTGAATACTAGGCTACAGAAAACTGGTTTTCAAACTGAGTACTAAGGCTTTAAAATTATTAATATTTCTGCGTTTTTACTCCCATTTATGGTCCGAGAAGTACTTAGCTCAGCCAACTTTAGCCCCAAAAGATTAAGTTTTTTACTCTTTTTTCCAGGGCCTGACGAATGCTCACCCAGAGTTCGTTCTAGACGGCTGGCAACGCTTTAAAATGTTCTTGTATTTTTTCATCGATCTGAGTACCGGGGTGAGAAAAGCCACTGACGAAAAGAGTACGCTAATTATTTGCCTCTCGCTCTCTCTCATTGCTGGCGTACGGATTTCGTCGATCTGAGTACTAGGCTTAAGAAAAGACACTGACGGACAAGTTTTCGCCGGTTATTTGCCTCTCGATATCTCTCATAGATAAAAAAAAATACAGATTTTTTCGTTGTTCAGTTTCAAAGGAATACATTTAATGAATAAAATCGACTTTGAAAGGCAGGAAATCGGCATTCCCAGGCAAGCATTTCAACTTATCGATAGTTTCAGCGTCTTGCATTCTCCATCCCTGGCAACTCCGCGCTTTGCAATTTAATTTTTATAAAATTCGTGGTAAAGCCAATAAGACAGTTTTTAAATCTAAGATGGCCCACAAACTGGTTTACGATAATGATCTCATACACATTACGGCAGATCAGGATGAATTTATCAAGATTAACCAAGATCAAGAGGATTTCAATGCATCTGAGGAAGGGACGAGCAGCGACATCCACGTTTTTGTGAATAAAGAGGATGAGCCTCATGCACAGGATTCCAACGCGGCTCAAGGAGACTTTGCCGTTTTGATGGCAGCCATTGAGACTTTCACAGCACAAGGAGAAGAATCTTCTGGTGATTCCCTAACCTCTCAGCCCCCAGCTCCTGCAGATGCTTATTCAGAAGGATTTTTTGCACAAGAAGGCGATGCTGTGGAGTTTGGCCATGAGGTCTACAACGTGCTCATTGCTGACTCAACATTTCCTGAAGAAGTGTCTGAAGTGTCTCGACTGATCCGTTATCCCAGGCAGAACATAGTCTACCAGGCCTTCTCGCCACCCTCGATCCCCGGTCTGCTGTCTGGCCATGGCGATCGTCCCAATGGTTTTCAGCAGAACTGCTTTGGTCTGGATATGACCGATGTGGCCTGCACCCTGCTGAACTCGGCTGCTGCTCAACTGGATCCCCCTGTGCACGTGGACGAGTTCACGGTGCGAACCATCGCCCACGGTCTGTCCACAGCCATGGACTTTACGTCAACAGAGGGGACTCCTCTAATCGGACGCCGGGGCGTCGGTCGTCTCGTGGCAGCCCTTATCCTGGACAGAGAGTCGGGCATCCTTTTGGCGTACGCCGTGGCCCAACTGGTGCCCCAAGCTCTGGTCGACAGCGAGACTGGGCAGGTGATGGGCATGATGCTACATCAGGTAACTCGCGGATTCGGCATCGACGACATTTGCCGTCGCATCATCACCGAAAATACCGGACCCGTTCTCTTGGTGGTCAATCAAATCCCAAATTAAAACTAAACTATAAACTATTTAAGCTTAAATAATAGTTTATGAAAACCAAGTAAAAAGTGAAAAGTAAGAAGATTTTTTCAAGTTGAGAATGCCAAACTAAGAATTCCTAAAATAATATATTACAGGTGTTTGAATTGACTGAAAAAGATTCAGTATTAACATGATTTAATTTTATTCAGTTTTAAAATAACTTAATTTTAATGCGATGTGCCTTGTTCTTAGAAAATACGTGCTCGTTTCTTATCCTTTTTTACTTTTATACTTACCAAAAATGTTCTTTCAAATGAAAAAAAATAAGACTTATTCAAATCACTGACTATTTAAATAAGCTATTCGTACTTAAAGAAGTAATTTAACCAGACAAGTTTAATGCTGAATGTTTTCAATTTCGTTTTATGTAATGCCAAAAGTTTGTCAGTAAGTCTGTATCTTCGTTTTTCTCAAAATAAAAGTTCGCCAATAGTTTTTAAGAATTTTTCTGAATACCTGTGTAGTAACCTACTTTACCTTAACAGAACAAAAATAAAGTGCCTTGTTTAATACATACCATAAAAATTGTTTTCCTGGCATAACCAATTTCCCACACATGTTGTTTTGTGAAAAAGACCTCGTTAAGTTATTCAATTTTATTATTTTATTGTATGTAATGCAATAAATTTGTCAGTTAAAGTTTCACATAGTTCTTAGTTTCGTTTACATATGTATGTGTAAGTATTTCTTTTCGGTATTAGTCGGTACTTAACAATAAACTTTGCTATATCATGAGTACACGTGAGTTCGAGTGTCTGTCTTTAAAAGGTAATGTCCACACCTCGCCTCGATTTTGGGACGTTTGCGTGTAATGCGTTTTATTTACAATTAGTCGGGGTGTTGATAATTACACGTATGGCATCTATACGTTAATCGAGTTGATGAAAAACACTTAAGAGCTTAGAAATGTATTTTGATTTCGATTTGTATAGTACTTGCTATGGTCATATGCGCCACTTAAATCTAACAAAGTTTCATTGTTCAACATTCAGTTTTATGGGCTGTCCAATGGGTTGTTGGTGGCTTTTTGGCGGCAAAATAAAAGGCTGAAAGTTAAATGGCAGGGTTTAAGTGGGTGGTGGTTGCCTCAAAGGCGGTTAGCCGCAGACCGCGAGCATTTGATGCATGCAAACGGGAATGTGTTAATTGTCCACACCCGTGAAAAGAATCCCTGTTAATTTAACACCCTCCAGCCCTCCCCCGCTGCATTATTCTGACCGCAGAAATTTATTTCCGTGGCTTTTTTTTTCTCGCAGCTGCTTGCGGTTAACTTGGCCCGGGATCAATTCGTTAAACGCTCAAAGGCGAGCGCATCAAGTATACGCAGGGTGTAACAACCGGCGCCTTGGGACAGCAGTCGCACACATAATTAATGCCACTTTGAGGGCATTGTTTGAGTGGGAGAATGTGTGTGCGCGGCTTGCACCTAATTGCAATTAAGTTGACGCTGTAGCAGCCTCAATTTCGACGCAAGGACAGGGACAACTTTAATTAATTTCAGACGATTTTTATGGGATTTGCCGTGGATTGGACGAGTGTGTGTAATTAAAAAGGACGTTAAGTGGATAAATAAATACGAGCCGGGCCTGCGGGTTCGCACACGATGTTTACATTTTGTCCGTTTGATTTCGATTTTATTTCTTTGACTGCCTTCCGCCTTTGTCTCCTGCCTGCTATTTGTTTATTTATTTTTATGTATTTATTTGTATCGTTTAAATGCAATTCATTAGTGTTCGGAATACGTCTCTGGTTGGATTCAGCCATTTATATTATTTGTATATTTAATTAATTTACATTTTGTTGAACGATTTCGCAATAGAGTTATATACAGTTCGCGAGTCAGTCCGCTCAATTCAATAAATTTACTTTCGTTATCAATTAAATTGTTTTTGTTTGTTTATATGCTGTGTTCTGCTGGATGTCCAATCCGATCAATGCATGTATTTGCTATAATTTTTTGTTCTTACGCAATTATTTTCTTTATGAATTTTGGTTTTTCCCGCATGTTTCGAGCTTGTTCGTGAGATAAGAGCACATAAAATAGAGTTCCATAAATTGGCTATGCAAATGTTTACCATGTCGCACACATATCGGACAGTCCATATTTGTGGGTTTTCTGTTTGACAATGATAATGATAAGTAAACTCCTTGAAATCATAGAAAACTTCTTTGATTATCGGGACGGCCAATTCGAGGGTATACAATTTTAGATGCATTTATTGGCAACAGAAGTTAGATATTTCTCGAAACGAGAAAACGAGGTCACCGGCCACAGTTCAGTATTTGCTAAAAATAATAAATATTCAAAATTGTCCGGCATCTGTGAGCGAAAGAGGGAGAAAGAAAGAGAGAGAGAGAGAGTGGAAACTGTGCGAGGGGTGCGGGAGATACGGCTAATTGAAAAGTTCAGCATGTCGCCACATAGGAAGGAGACTGCAAATGTTTTCCCAGACTCAAATTGCCATGCAAATGCATTCGAGTTGAATTTTTCCAAAAACGCATTCGTTTGATGGCAGGAATTTCCCTGAATCCGTTCCCCCTTCCTTCACGGTTCGCCCATTCGGTCCAAATGCATTCAGGATATCGATGCAATTTCATATCGGACTGCATAAATATTTACGGTTATGCATTTATGCAAACTTACTCGGTATTTTACACAAAACAGAGGCCCCCGAAACCAAACCGAAAACCCAAACCAAAAAAATAAATAAAGAAATCAGCTAGGAGTCTGCCTAAGACTAGGGGCTTACTAACTAGTTCGCTTATAGCCGGTAGAACTTACGATTAGCTGGATTTCGGGGCTCTCGAAACTGGCTGCGGTATATGTATTGGTTATTAGTTAGTGGATAAAATCAACTAGCTTACAACATGCACTCGATTATTACGTTTAATCTCTCTTTTCTTGTCGCTTTTGCTATTTGGGTCTATCAAATTAATTTGGTTTTATACTTTTTACGTTGGCAGAGTGTTGGGCTTCCCATCTTCTCATTTTTTAGTAGCTGCTGGATTTCCTGTCCCTCAGTTTTGCTTGGAGGCAGTGACATGTCATGTGCGGTGGCCCACCCCGATGATAATCACGCTGAGTAGGAGTGCCAGGATGCTGAGGGCGTAGGCCCGGGTGGTGGCTGCCGATGAGGTGACCGCCGAGGCCGACGATTCGCCTAGGAGAATACACAGGGAAAAATTAAACATTGTGCCAGTTGGTCTTCCCTGCACAGAAATAAATTAAATCACAAGCTATTCAAACTTGTCTCAGATTTCATTATTTAATAGACACACCAATTATCTCACTTAATTCGAGACTGTAATGACTTAATAATCAAGCTTTGCTTGGAAATTTTAAACTTTTTAAACGAGCATCTTCCTATTAAAATTGATACTATATTAAGTAAAAATGTTTAAGTCGCTGTACCTTTTAAACGATTTTTAAATATTTAACGTAATACATACAAAAAGAATTACCCATACTGTATATGGAAAATATTCAAGCATGCAATATATATGACTCATTTTTTACATAGTTAGAATTAGAGTGTATAAGGGCGGCTGGACTTAAATTTCTATAGTATTGATATTCTTTTTTTTGTGTGAAAATTCCCGCCCTGGCACTCACCATTTATTATGTTCAGCGTTACGGTCGCACTGGGGCTATTCGACGGGCTACATGTGTAATTGCCAGTATCGCGCTTCTTGGCCGACTCGATGATTAATGAGCCAATCTGCAGAAGAAGAAAAACACAGGCACATACAGTTACAGATTCAAGGGCCCAAGGAAAAGTTCGGAAAAGAAAAAGATAAACACAGGCAGTTTTCATTCGGACATGGGCACACGTATTCCAAATATTGGGCATGAGCCGGAACTGACTTTTTGCTCCGGGGCCGGGGCACAAAGTTATGGCCAGGCAATTAGGCGAAATGCGACAAAACTGAAACTTTTGCGCAACAACATTATAATATTTTGTGCTTGGCACCAGAAGCGAAGAATCCATAGGAAATAGAGAGTAATTAAATTAAAGTCAACAAGGGAGTCTTTGGGTCTTGGCCAAGCGCAAGAAACTCTGTTACTCTGTTACAGAGGAATTAAATGTTCTCAGTTACAACACACCTTTTTAAATATATTGAAACAATTAATAAATGAAGGCAAAAGAATGAATACGAGATTCCAAAAAAAGGGACAATAATAAATTAAATTAATACATTTTTGGTCTTAATAAAAATATATAGAGATGTGCTCTATTTTCATGTTGGGATGTTTTTAGCTTAACAAAAGGATGGAAAGATAAAATTACTGTTAATTTTACATTTTGTCATTCTTAGTCATTTTAAGTTTTTAAACATTTTCACAAATAATTAGACAACAATATAAAACAAAATTTAAAAGTTATCTCAGACTCGGCTTATATTTCTTTAAAATGTTTTATTCCATTTCATAATAAAAAGATTTCGCATTAGTCAGTATTGGAAAATATCTAGTTTTTTGGCATGTATGTACTTAAGTAAGGTAAAAGATCCAAAATTGTTCAAGTATCTAAGTAGATTAAAAGGAAAAAAAGTTTATAAAAACACATTTACTAATTACATTTTGTTTTAAAATCATTTTGAAGTCAATTGGTTTTTCTTATTTATTTATTATGCGTTGTATATGCTTTGAAGAAACATGTGAAAAACATGCGGTGGATTATACCTTATATTTAAGTTGCGGTTAAATTATGCTATAGTTTTTTTTCAAACTATTTTAAAAAACAAAATATTAATAAATTTCAATTTTCAGTTAAAAATCTTGACCTAGGTAAGGTATAAGGTGCTAAACACTTGCATTTAGTAAACAAAACCATTAAGTAAAAACCGATTTGTTTTTGTAAAAGTAAAATTAATGGCTAACAACTTTTAAGTCTCTCTTAAATAAGAACAATTTTGTTTTTTTATCTCAGCTAAAGAAGAAAGCGAGCTGTGTTTAATGATGGAATATATATACGTATTAATTACTCCCTCATTAACTGGGAATTTTGGGCTGTGCACTTACCGTGCTCTGGCCTTCGCCGGAGGCCTCCGGCAGGTTGGGATCCAGTTGCGTGCGGTGGCGGCGGGAGTCGGCCGCCAGTTGCTCGGCGCCGTGGTACCACATGATGAACGTGGGCGGCTCCAGGGCGCCACGCACGATGCAGCGGAGCACCACGTTGCTGCCCGCCTTCACGTAGCGGTCCGGTTCTCCCAGA